GAACATTTATACGGCAGAATGTTCTACATTACAAAGACAAATTTGGGCCGAGACTAATCACGACGTTGTAATTTGTAAATTAAGGATAATCTATTTTCCCCAGCTCTCGCTGTCTGCCTCAGATTCAAATATAGTTCTTTATGATAAATTCAATCAAACGGTACTTTGCAGTTAAACACTAGATATAATGCTTGCATAAAAAATTAAACACCCCCAAAAAATCATCATTTAGAAATTCAACCGATTGGCCAAATGTGTTTCCATAATTAAGTTTTAGCTTCTCATAGACTAATGTAGCTGAATGTATCTCTAGTAGGAAAGCAGAGCAGCCAGGTCCTTCTGGGAGGTGTTAAATACCCCCTAGTGATGTCATCTGCTGATTTATAGAACAGAGTGAAGCCAAGCAGCAGAGGAACACAGACTCACCACACCTGTGGACTTCCTGGAGACACATCGTAACTCATTTATTGTCCAATCAAAATGTGTGTCTCACAAAGACACAGCGGAACTCTTTCACTACGCTCCATATGAACCACCTTGTCTGTGTCCCAAAATAGCACCCTACTCCCTATATAGTGCACTACAGGACCTGGTCAAAGGTAGTGCGCTATACAGGGAATAGGGTGTCATAGGGCTCTGGTCTAAAGTAGTGCACTATATAGGGAATAGGGTGTCATAGGGCTCTGGTCTAAAGTAGTGTACTATATAGGGAATAGGGTGCCATAGGGCTCTGGTCTAAAGTAGTGCACTATATAGGGAATAGGGTGCCATAGGGCTCTGGTCTAAAAGTAGTGCACTATATAGGGAATAGGGTGTCATAGGGCTCTGGTCTAAAGTAGTGCGCTATACAGGGAATAGGGTGTCATAGGGCTCTGATCTAAAGTAGTGTACTATATAGGGAATAGGGTGTCATAGGGCTCTGGTCTAAAGTAGTGTACTATATAGGGAACAGGGTGCCATAGGGCTCTGGTCTAAAGTAGTGCACTATATAGGGAATAGGGTGTCATAGGGCTCTGGTCTAAAGTAGTGCACTATATAGGGAATAGGGTGTCATAGGGCTCTGGTCTAAAGTAGTGTACTATATAGGGAATAGGGTGTCATAGGGCTCTGGTCTAAAGTAGTGCACTATATAGGGAATAGGGTGTCATAGGGCTCTGGTCTAAAGTAGTGCACTATATAGGGAACAGGGTGCCATAGGGCTCTGGTCTAAAGTAGTGCACTATATAGGGAATAGGGTGTCATAGGGCTCTGGTCTAAAGTAGTGTACTATATAGGGAATAGGGTGCCATTTGAGATGAAGACTTCTATAACTAACCAGGTTACACTGTTGCCAGCATCAAAGATACTCTGAGGAGAAATATTCAGTCACAGAAAGCACAATAACAAAAAGTATGAACCGTTACTACGGTAATAGTTTCAGTACAGTACAAATGATATACGGGTCGTATTTGCATATCTCAATGGAAAGTGAACAACAGGGACGTAATTATTGCATTGAAGAGAAAGTCTTTAGTGTCCCTTAACATAAGCTCCTTAGAAACTTATGTAAATTAGCACGCTGGATGTGCAGGCGAAAGTGACATAGTTATTATTAATTTTTGCAGTTCATGGAAATCTTTCAGGCTTAAACAATCTCTCCGTAAAAAGACAACTTAGATTAAATAATTGTATTCTTCCCAATGCTCACACTACAGCCCCCCCCCAAAATTGGGGGAAATTAAAATAGCTTATCTAGTGGATGTTGAAGAACCCTTCAACGGTGCTATTACCATTCTGAAGGCCCTGAGGAAGTTAGCTCAATATTAAGATGAGAATATTGGAACAATAATGATGTAAAAAGTTGAAGTATGGACGGAAAATATGGGAATATTAAGAACATAATTTTTAAGGAGCTTATTTTCATATAGACATAATTTCCTTTCTTTCTTTATTTTAGGACAAAGTTTGATTTTGAGACTCAGTGTCCATCCACGGAACACGACAGGCAAAACAGACTTTTCACAACGCTGCAAAAAAACTGGCACTCAATCAGGTTCAGCCTGAATCCAACTGACGATAAAAGGCGCTAGTGATCAATGACTGATGTCCAGAGTAGAGAGAAGCACCGTCCCCTAGCCAGCTCTCAACCCCGCGGATGTGTCCCAAACGGCATCCTATTCCCTATGTAGTGCACTCCTTTTGACTAGGGTTCCACAGGGGCTCTGGTCAAACGTAGTGTACTATATAGGGAATAGTGTGCCGTTTGGGACGCAAGCCCTCGGTTGAGCCAGGCTGGCTAGGGGTTGAGAGCTGGCTAGGGGACGGTGCTTCTCTCTAAAGAGTATGAACAGACAGGAGACAGGGACAGTTTTGGACTGACATTAGAGAATGCCCTGATTTCTCTCTGATCGATACTTCTCCCAAAACAATCAAGGAGAGAATTGGATCTCAGGTGAAGTGTGTGTGTTTGTGTCTCCACACGTGCGAGAGAGAGAGAGAGAGAGAGAGAGAGAGAGAGAGAGAGAGAGAGAGAGAGAGAGAGAGAGAGAGAGAGAGAGAGAGAGAGAGAGAGAGAAATGACACACACACACACTCCTAATCGTGGAGACCTGGAGTGTGGCCAGCAGACCTGAACCCCCTGCTGCAGATCACATTGCACCACAGATCCCATTGGGCGTCACAAATCTCCTCAGGAATAAGGAACGAGAGCTGCCCAACCCCGTCCCCAATCCCCCCTCTCTCTCTCTCTCTCTCTCTCTCTGCTGTGACCCCACCACTAGATGACCTACTAACTAACACAAGGACTCACCGAGGGGACGAGATCAGACGATTGGTGGAGGGAAAGAAAGAAAGAAAGAAAGAAAGAAAGAAAGAAAGAAAGAAAGAAAGAAAGAAAGAAAGAAAGAAAGAAAGAAAGAAAGAAAAAGAAAAAAGTCAATCAAAGTGATTAACTGAGAGAAGATGAATTCCTTTTCTTTTGTTCCATTTCTAAAAGAACGTGAGGGAACATTCCAAGGGAAATCACAGTTCAGCCCATGATAAGATAGGTGTTGATAATTATGTGACTTCTTTCTTTAAGTACAAGGACTTAAATCTCTGAAGGAGTGCATGGGAACTTTGTATTAACCATTGGTTGATCAGTGGAGTCAAGCTAATTCTTTAACCATGTTGGATTTAATGCTTTCATAATTGAAATGGTACTGAACTGTGTGTTAGTTTGTTAAAATGTACAGTACATGTATTTCAGTCCCCCCCCCCCCCCACCCCCCCCCCCCCCCCCACCCATCTGTGAATAACTGTATGACACATTGGTGTGCATCTCATTGAGTGTGTCCAAAATGGGACCCTATTTCCCCATAGCGCCCTGGTCAAAATGGGACCCCTATTTCCCCATAGCGCCCTGGTCAAAATGGGACCCCTATTTCCCCCTAGCGCCCAGGTCAAAATGGGACCCTATTTCCCCATAGGGCCCTGGTCAAAATGGGACCCCTATTTCCCCATAGCGGCCCTGGTCAAAATGGGACCCCTATTTCCCCCTAGCGCCCATGGTCAAAATGGACCCCTATTTCCCACTAGCGCCCTGGTCAAAGCTAGTGCACTAAATAGGGACTGGGGATTCCGTGTGGGACACATTGAGTTCTCTATAACAAGGCTGCTGTGTGTAGCGGCTCTGTGTTCCTGTAGGGAAAATTATCTGGAATAAACGGCAAAACGATGTATTACGCCGGATAGATTAATGTGACCGAACTTTGGGGTTAATTGGTTGTCCTCGCGACACTTGCAGAAAATGACTACTGACAGCTCGCCATTGTGTGCGTGCTCTGGTCCGTTGTAGATAATTATCTGTAATAAAGGCAATAAACTTGTAATTACCCGCTATGAAGATTACATGAACACGGTTGGGGACTCATATGTAGTTGTTGTTTCACAACAACCAGCTATAAAGATTACACTGAGTTTAGCAGACGCCTTATAGGCGCTACGTTATGAGAACGCACATAAGGCTGGCTAGATCAACCCACATGCGTGACAAACGCATTTAACACGGGCCATCTGCTGACCGCCATTCTCCCATCCCTACGCTGGCAATATGTCGACAGGCCCACCCACCTTGGTCTAGTATTTTTGTTTTAAACACAAACACACAGACTGGCTAGTTTCAGAAGCATCAGCGTAAGGACTGAAGCTATTTCAGAAGCACAGCCGTATAGGACTGAAGCTAGTTCAGAAGCATCAGCGTATAGGACTGAAGCTATTTCAGAAGCACTAGCGTTAGGACTGAGCTAGTTTCAGAGCATCAGCGTATAGGACTGAAGCTAGTTTCAGAAGCACGCGTATAGGACTGAAGCTAGTTTCAGAAGCTCACGTATAGGACTGAAGCAGTTTCAGAAGCACAGCGTATAGGACCTGAAGCTATTTCAGAACACGCGTTAGACTGAAGCTATTTCAGAAGCACACGTCATAGGACTGAAGCTAGTTTCAGAAGCATCACGCGTATGGACTGAACTAGTTTTCAGAAGCACGCGTATGGACTGAGCTAGTTTTAGAAGCATCACGTATAGACTGAAGCTAGTTTCAGAAGCATCAGCGTATAGGACTGAAGCTAGTTTCAGAAGCATCAGCGTATAGGACTGAAGCTAGTTTCAGAAGCACAGCGTATAGGACTGAAGCTAGTTTCAGAAGCACAGCGTATAGGACTGAAGCTAGTTTCAGAAGCATCGCGTATAGGACTGAAGCTAGTTTCAGAAGCATCAGCGTATAGGACTGAAGCTAGTTTCAGAAGCATCAGCGTATAGGACTGAAGCTAGTTTCAGAAGCACAGCGTATAGGACTGAAGCTAGTTTCAGAAGCACAGCGTATAGGACTGAAGCTAGTTTCAGAAGCATCAGCGTATAGGACTGAAGCTAGTTTCAGAAGCATCAGCGTATAGGACTGAAGCTAGTTTCAGAAGCATCAGCGTATAGGACTGAAGCTAGTTTCAGAAGCATCAGCGTATAGGACTGAAGCTAGTTTCAGAAGCATCAGCGTATAGGACTGAAGCTAGTTTCAGAAGCATCAGCGTATAGGACTGAAGCTAGTTTCAGAAGCACAGCGTATAGGACTGAAGCTAGTTTCAGAAGCACAGCGTATAGGACTGAAGCTAGTTCAGAAGCATCAGCGTATAGGACTGAAGCTAGTTTCAGAAGCATCAGCGTATAGGACTGAAGCTAGTTTCAGAAGCACAGCGTATAGGACTGAAGCTAGTTTCAGAAGCATCAGCGTATAGGACTGAAGCTAGTTTCAGAAGCACAGCGTATAGGACTGAAGCTAGTTTCAGAAGCACAGCGTATAGGACTGAAGCTAGTTTCAGAAGCATCAGCGTATAGGACTGAAGCTAGTTTCAGAAGCATCAGCGTATAGGACTGAAGCTAGTTTCAGAAGCATCAGCGTATAGGACTGAAGCTAGTTTCAGAAGCACAGCGTATAGGACTGAAGCTAGTTTCAGAAGCACAGCGTATAGGACTGAAGCTAGTTTCAGAAGCACAGCGTATAGGACTGAAGCTAGTTTCAGAAGCACAGCGTATATAGGACTGAAGCTAGTTTCAGAAGCACAGCGTATAGGACTGAAGCTAGTTTCAGAAGCACAGCGTATAGGACTGAAGCAGCGTAACGTTCAAGACTGTAGAAGTACTATCCTATTTCAATAAATTACCAACTTAATATAGTAAAACGGTAACCCCATTTCTTGACATTTTGTTTTAATATTATAAAGAAAATGTAGAAAGAAGAAAAAAAAAAAATATGATGTGCAATATAGAGAAATGTGATATTTGAAATGTGATGTGAAAGCACTGTCTGCTTCCTTCAGTATCTGCAGTCCTCGGGCTGACACATTGTAGAACCTACGTTTGTCCAAGGACCTGGTGCTGCTATTGACGTGTGTATCAACGATCACCGTTTTAGTAGACACTGACATTTCCTATTGGACTGGTCGAACAAATAGCATTTCCCCAGACAACTTGTTAACTTTTAAAGGTTGATAGATTCAATAGGCGCCAGGGCTCAAACAAGCAGTGGATCACACTGGAAAAACAAAGCTGGGAGATTAGCTGCTGTCAGTTTGTGTGTTGAAAAGGATGAAATGTGCAAGGGGCCGGCGCCGACTGAAACCCTGGGCCCTGCTTATAAAAACGACATGGACAGTATTGATCCTGATGAGGAAGACTTTTAAAAAAAGAGAGAAAGAAAGGAATCTCTTGTCTAGTTTGTGTTCTTCTTCCTCCACCTGCTGCCGGCCGGAAGAGACCCTCCTCTTTGATCCACAAGACTGCTTCCCACCCTATAGGCTCTGGTCCAAAGTAGTGCACTATGTAGGGAATAGGGTCCAAAGTAGTGCACTATATAGGGAATAGGGTCCAAAGTAGTGCACTATAAAGGAAATAGGGTCCAAAGTAGTGCACTATATAGGGAATAGGGTCCAAAAGTATTGCACTATATAGGGAATAGGGTCCAAAGTAGTGCACTATAAAGGAAATAGGGTCCAAAGTAGTGCACTATATAGGGAATAGGGTCCAAAAGTAGTGCACTATATAGGGTATAGGGTCCAAAGTAGTGCACTATATAGGGAATAGGGTCCAAAAGTAGTGCACTATATAGGGAATAGGGTCCAAAGTAGTGCACTATATAGGGAATAGGGTCCAAAGTAGTGCACTATAAAGGGAATAGGGTCCAAAGTAGTGCACTATATAGGGAATAGGGTCCAAAGTAGTGCACTATATAGGAAATAGGGTCCAAAGTAGTGCACTATATAGGGAATAGGGTGTCATTTGGGGCTCGAACCATGTCGCAGCGGTAGGAGAGAGGTTAGAAGGGATACAGGTTAAGTGTGCTGAGGGAAGTAGAGAGGTTAGAAGGGATACAGGTTAAGTGTGCTGAGGGCAGTAGAGAAGTTAGAAGGGATACAGGTTAAGTGGGGCTCAGACCATGTCGCTGCATCTCAGTGCTTGAGGCGTCACTACAGACCCCCTGGTTCGATTCCAGGCTGTATCACAACCGGCCGTGATTTGGAGTCCCATAGGGCGGCGCACAATTGGCCCAGCGTCGTCCGGGTTTGTCAGTAAACTGTTTGTACTGTAATATCTAGCTGGTTGCTGTGAATTAAAACACAACGCGTCAGTAAACTGTTTGTACTGTAATATCTAGCTGGTTGCTGTGAATTAAAACACAACGTGTCAGTAAACTGTTTGTACTGTAATATCTAGCTGGTTGCTGTGAATTAAAACACAACGTGTCAGTAAACTGTTTGTACTGTAATATCTAGCTGGTTGCTGTGAATTAAAACACAACGTGTCAGTAAACTGTTTGTACTGTAATATCTAGCTGGTTGCTGTGAATTTGCCCCAACTCTTTCCACTCTCTGAGTGCGTATTTTCTACTCAATTTAACATCAGTAAATATCGTGTCCATTTAATGTAGAAAAACATTTACACAGACATGCCATTTAAATAGCATTACAACAACCTCCTGTAATCTCACATCACAGACCCCAAGACTACCATGTTGGCATCTCTCATGTTGGGAGGAAAATCCATGATTGGCATGCTGGTCTTTATATGTCATCTCTATAACATTATAATGTATTGGCATGCTGGTCTTATATGTCATCTCTATAACATTATAATGTATTGGCATGCTGGTCTTTATATGTCATCTCTATAACATTATAATGTATTGGCATGCTGGTCTTTATATGTCATCTCTATAACATTATAATGTATTGGCATGCTGGTCTTTATATGTCATCTCCATAACATTATAATGTATTGGCATGCTGGTCTTTATATGTCATCTCTATTATACGTATTATAATGTATTGGCATGCTGGTCTTTATATGTCATCTCTATAACATTATAATGTATTGGCATGCTGGTCTTTATATGTCATCTCTATAACATTATAATGTATTGGCATGCTGGTCTTTATATGTCATCTCTATAACATTTATAATGTATTGGCATGCTGGTCTTTATATGTCATCTCTATAACATTATAATGTATTGGCATGCTGGTCTTTATATGTCATCTCTATAACATTATAATGTATTGGCATGCTGGTCTTTATATGTCATCTCTATAACATTATAATGTATTGGCATGCTGGGTCTTTATATGTCATCTCTATAACATTATAAGTATTGGCATGCTGGTCTTTATATTCATCTCTATAACATTATAATGTATTGGCATGCTGGGCTTTATATGTCATCTCTCTAACTATAATGTATTGGCATGCTGGGGTCTTATAGTCATGTTAATTAATGGTATTGGCTGGGTCTTTATATGTCATCTCTATAAACATTATAATGTATTGGCAATCCGGTTCTTATATGTCATCTCTATAACTTATAATGTATTGGCATGCTGGTCGTTAATGTCATCTCTATAACATTATAATATATTGGCAATGCTGGTCTTTATATGTCATCTCTATAACATTATAATGTATTGGCATGCTGGTCTTTATATGTCATCTCTATAACATTATAATATATTGGCATGCTGGTCTTTATATGTCATCTCTATAACATTATAATGTATTGGCATGCTGGTCTTTATATGTCATCTCTATAACATTATAATGTATTGGCAGGCTGGTCTTTATATGTCATCTCTATAACATTATAATGTATTGGCAGGCTGGTCTTTATATGTCATCTCTATTATACGTATTATAATGTAGTGGTTGTAAATGTTGGATAGGTCGGCATGACTTGACAGGAAAAACTCAACTGTTACTTTGTGTCATAATGACGGATGGTGGGTTGGTGCCCCCTTCCAGCCCCTTTCCCAGCCCCCCCTCCCAGCCCCTCTGCCACCCCTCTCCTACCCCCTCCCATGCCCCCTCCCATGCCCCCCTACCACCCCTCTCCTACCCCCTCCCATGCCCCCTCCCATGCCCCCCTACCCACCCCCTCGCCTACCCCGAACTCCCATGCCCCCCTACCACCCCTCTCGCTACCCCCCCTCCCATGCCCCCTCCCATGCCCCCCTCCACCCCCCTCTCCTACCCCCTGCCCATGACCCCTCCCATGCCCCCCTACCCACCCCTCTCCTACCAACCCTCCATGCCCCCTCCCATGCCCCCCTACCACCCTTCTCCTACCCCCTCCCATGCCCCCTCCCATGCCCCCCTGTCATCATTAGCAGTGAGGAGATGAGCCCTCTGAGCTTTTTTAGAAAAGCTTTTAATTGCTTTCGGCCGAGGCACATTTAAATTGGTGTTGAAAAAAGGCTGGATTATCTTTCTGGACGTGAAATGTTGTTGGAAAACAAAGTCACGTAGGGTCACAACTGTAGCTAAGGCCAGATGGATGGATGCAGTTATGAAGGTTATTTTTCTTTACTTTAAACCTTTCGGAATGTTTTTGGAAAACAGAAGCAGTAGTAAATGTACAGTAAATAGGAAAAGCTGTCTATGATAAACATGGAAATATACCATCGTAATGATGGCTGTACAATTTGCTGTTTCATTTCATTTGAACGATTAGCAACCGATTCCTATATGTTTTTTTTTTGTTGATATTCTTAAAGATGGAATCAATATTAATATGAATATTGAAATAATTCATAATAATTGTATTTAAATAATATTGAAATAGTATTCAAAGTGGTCACCAAGCCTCTGTTTCGGTAAAATGCTGATGGATTGGCCTAGATCAGGGTTCTTCAATTCCGGTCCTGGAGGGCCGGAACACTTCTGTTTTTTTTTATTTCTACCTGGTAGTTAATCGCACTCACCTGCTGTCCCAGGTCTGAATTAGCACCTAATTAGAAGGATAGGATGGAAAAACAGAGGTGTTTCGGCCCTCCAGGGACCTGGAATTGAAGAACCCTGTTCTAGATAATCACATTTAGGGTTAGTTGAGGGTCTCATTTTGATTCGTAGCTAATGCGTCAGCAACAACGAAAGATAATGTGAGTTTCAACCCTTTCTGATGTAGCTAGCTAGTTAGCATAACGTGTTAGCTACTTGTTACTAAATTAGCAAACTGACGTTAGCCAGGACCTGGAATTGAAGAACCCTGGCCTAGATACATGAAACCACTCTCTAATTCATAGGCAGAGGTATGGATGCATGACATAAAAATTACAGTTACATTTATCTTGTTTACAAACATCGGAGTAAAACAAGCTCATATTTGGGGGTTCTGACGGGGGACGACAGTTGAACTAAGTTCATTAGGCATTTACAAGTGATATATTCTTTAAGAATCAAAAGGGTACATATCATTAATTTATAAGTTATATTCCTTAAGAATCAATGGGTATATATATCATTAATTTATAAGTCCGAAAATAGATGTAGCAATTACGGA